ACTGATTAATTCCTTATTTTTTGTTCATTAGTTCGAATAAATTCCCTTGCTGTAGATTGAAGAGCAGTCTTGTTCTCTGAAATTTTTCAGTATGCCATCGATGGAAGGTGAGAATCAGTCATACAAGTACTTTTATTTTTATACATAAATATACTTTAAATATGTAGAAGATGAAAGTGGTTTTGACCAGATGGAAACCAGAACTTGGTTCTTTATTTTAATAGAAATATTGTTCTGCCACCTGAGATGTTTAGGAACAAGATAGAGTAGGCTGTGTTTTTTTGGACATAAACTGCTTTAAGTGTAAGAGTGGCTAGCTTTATGAAGGTCTTATTTATAGACACAGATTTTTATAATTGGCATAAGAAATAGCGTTAAGCCTATTATATTTTCAAACTCTAAGTTCTTTATTTTGTCCCTTAAGGATTTTCAAGAATTAGAAGCGTGTATAATAATGGCATTTCAACCACACTGTGTTCATTATTGACAATGTGTTTCACTTAATTCAGAGCCCTTCAAGCTGGTTGGGATGCAAGAAACATAGCACTGGTCAGAACACTATTTATGTAAGCCATTAGATACAACAATTGTTTTGGTGTGTATACCATTTTCAAGCTGGCAAAGAATAATTATAATTGTCATAAGATGTTACTATTATATCTTTAAGCACTACATCCTTCTCTCTGCCCCCCAGTGGCATGTCTGCGGACTTACAACACTAGAAACCGGGTTTCGATACCCATGGTAGGCAGAGCACAGGTAGCCCTTGTGTAGCTTTGTGCATAGTTAAAAACAAACAAACAAACAATTCATTCTTCTCTAGCCTCTTAGGGATTTTCAAGATTTAGGAGGGTTCATGATAATAATATTCCAGTCACACTGTATTCATCATATCCATTGTAATACCTTTTAAGTGTTCAGTAAGTAAAGTTTTAGGAATTTTATTTTTGGTAAAGACACTTCCATACATCATAGTGTATCTATGTTGTTTATAAACTTACATCTAAGAATATATTTTCATCATTTAAACAAACTTTATAGTTATTGCTGTGTGTCAGAAACTCCAAATATCTTATGAGAATTGCTTCAAGAAATTTGGGATAATTCTTAGCTTATAATTCATTTCTAGAAAACATGTTCATAAAACATTGATTTAGATATAACTTTGCAAAGAAAAATTAATCATTATTTCCCATCATATGACATTCAGCTTGTTATTTTCATAATGTTTTAAAAAATCTTCTGTTCAAAATACAGCTTGTGATGACATAGCTAGTAACAATATATTGTTACACCTCTGGTCGTTTGTTAATTTTCCATAAAAATTATTTCCGAAGAAACTTTAGCGATACAAGTCCTTTGTTAAATAAAACTAGTTTGTTATTTCTGAATACAACTTTGCAATACACTTAATTTCCACAGTCACACTAGAACTTAAACAAACGCTATAACTCACAACGAACGATTCACGTGCTTGACTCAATTGTCCGTCTCTATCCCTGTCTGCAGTTCAATTCCATTGTTGCCATCACTTCTTGGCGGTCTTATATACAAGAATACCGCACATCTAGTAAACACTCGAGCATTCACGAACCTTCTAGAATATCATGACTTGTTACTAGCGTCACATGACTTATGCTGTCATAACAATATATATGGAGAATGACTATCCTATTTCTAGTATTTCACAGAAACATTTATGTATATTTGGTCATCTTCTTTAAGTACTGCTTGATTAGAATATTGCCTTCTGTATATTTTTAAGTTATGTTCAAATGTTCTTGATAAATCCTTATAGATTGAACTATGAAAATACCAAGACATTCTTTTACTTGGTCAACTGTTTGACCCTACAAATTATTAATTGTGATGGTAACGGAAGTGAATTTTATTATGAATTTTGGGGTCTTCTCTTTGGACTGTCTTTGGCTTTGTTAGCCTTCTGAGCTGAAAAAGTGTTTTAATTGAAATTTGCTGCTGGTAAAACATGCGGTTTAATATATAATTATAGCTGTTCTGATTGGACAAAATTTTGTGATGTTGCTTGTGTCTTCTTGACAACCAAGTAAACGTAATGTAGAATTTCAGCCAATGATAATGATTTTTGTACACCAGCAATACCAAGGGTGGGGCAAGCATATACCCAATTCTATTTTATTACTCATCATAATCACTACCAATCCACCCTCAAATCTAAGTATATGCCCAAATAGAGTGTTTTCCATTTTATACATATATATATATATATGTCTGGAAGAATTTTAAAAAGACAACTTTTGTGCAAGTCGCATATTGATGCTACCACAATGGCTGAGGTATCGGCATGACAGACAGATGGATTTTTTCTCTATCTAGTAGTTCAATAACATAATAAAAATATCTTAGAAAATGATTAGTGATGTGATAAATACACCATAAAAGTGATAAGTAAGAAGGTTATCAGTTTGTTGGTGTTTTAATTGAGGTTTTTAATTAATAAGATAATAAAATACTTAAGAAGAACATCATTCTGTATGTGTTGCAACATTTTCTACTTTATAAAAGTGATTGAGATTGTAAAAATCTCATAAAAGTAATTAACGAGATGGTAATTAACGAGACATAAAAGTGATTATTAAGAGTTAAATTTTGTTTGCTTTAGTCTTAAGAAAGTTCCGAGTCTCCGATAATTATATGTATAATTAAATGTTTTTTTTTTATAATAAGAGAGTTGAATGAGCTAAATCTTTAAGAAAGTTACATTTTTGGATCTTAAAGTAGCTTTAATATTAAATTTTACTTGTTAATACTATAAATTCCACACTGATCGTCATTATATCCTTTTTTCAGATTTAATGTTCCAGTTGAAAGTAAGTTATGTTTTATTTTCAGTATATATATTCTGAAAGTTGTAAAACAAGTTGTGAAAATTGGGTATTTAACCAAATAAAATTAAAAATATGAAGGACGAAATCATAGTTGTTCATTCATTGTTTCTATAAGTTTTGTATTGGTAACAAGTTTTTCACTTAACAGACAAAAAAGTTTAATATAGCATAATGTTTGGGAACAACAAGAGGCCTATTGGGTCATCTTGGTTGTCCAATCCTTTAAATAAAACTTAAAAAAAACTTAAGATCATTCATATAATTATCAAGCTCTCCCTTAAACTTGCTACTGCATCCACATCATCTGAAGGCAACCCGTTCCACTCTGTTAGAAAAATAAAACTGTCTTAGCTGAAGATGACTCCAACCTTGCTAAAATTTTTATTTGTGTCATCTACTCCTACTGTTCCAACTGTTAAATATGAAAAAAGATGATGTATCAACACTATTAGTTCCCTTTACAACCTTAAACACCTCAATCAGATCCCCTCTAACTCTTTTTTTTTTCAAGAGAAAACAATTAAAGAGATCTCAACCTCTCTTTGTATGACAACCCCTCTGCCCCAGGCATTGTTCTAGTAACCCTTCTCTGTATCCTTTCCAACAATTCAATGTCCTTCTTAAGGTAAGGAGCTCAAGAGTGAGCACAATACTCCAAATGCGGCCTAACCAGTGACATATACCACGAGGAACAGTACACTGCTTGGATGGCTTAACTCTATCCCGACAGGTCATGTGTCAAAGACCATGTCATAGCGTTTGTTGATTTGCATTCAAAATGCTACTGAACTACTATTTTAGGAGTATATCAATAAGTTTGGTATAAATTTTAGATTATAATTCATATTTTAGTATTATATGTTAGTTAATTTCTTATTTTAAAAGTAAATATAAAAAAAACACAGTTAAATACAAAATCTACAGTTTTGTATGGATTAGGAACTCAAACTACCGATATTGACAAGCTATAATATAAAATAAAAACCCCCTTTTTTATTTGCTAATATAGTGCTCCTGTTGTGAATCAAACAGTGACCTCCTCACCCACCTCTTTCCATTTTTCGAATCAGTCCCTTATATACACTTACTTCTATATATGACATGAATAACTAATCATAAGCTCAGAATGTCCCCCTAGTGGTTTTCTCAACCATTTTGATGTGTTATTGTACTGATTTCTTTCTCTTCACACAAGATTTAAAGTGATGACGTAAGTCTTTAGTAAGCTCGAAATTTCATATTTTTTTAGACCCAAATACAGCTTAGTTACTACACTTGATAAATTATAGTGGAATTCTATGGTATCAATTTATGATTTTTTGTTTTTTTTTAAAATGTATATATTTTCTATAGACATCTCCTCTTCTCTATTTTATCCACCACCCCTTCAATAAGTACGAAATTCAATGTAAATTACTCACTATAAAATTATCATTGCTCAGACAAACCATAATTTTTATAGCCTTAAATTTTGTTTAGTTCCGGAGATATCAAATATAAAATCAGACTTCTCTTGCCACACCCACTTGTCATATCCTCTCTTTCAGGATTTGTTAATAGTTCTCTCTTATGTTTAACTTTGTATTATCTATATCTGATAGAAAGCCAAGATTTTGAT